GCTGGCTCCAGGCCCGTTCCTGCACTGCATGGTTGGCTCAAGCAGTTCTTATTTTAGAACAAACCCATTCGAATGGAATCTTCCCAGAGTCAAGGGGAGGTAAACAAAGGGGCCTGTGGGACCCACTCTCCAGCTCTTGTTTAAATTAAGAGGAAAACATGCTTTGTTTCCCTCAGCGTGGGCTTGGCGCCTTTCATGTCTGCCCTCTGAGGAAGGCGGCTGGGGGCCTCAAGGTGAGGCATGATGTTTGGGGTTTGAGGCTGGGTGGTTCCTGGATTGTCAAACCACCTGGTGCTGGCCAGGAACTGCTGTCAGGAGCCTCTGAGGAGGGGTCGGCCCCTGCCCAGTCCCTGGCCTCTGAGTCACCACCACGAGCTCAGGCCTCTCGGCCTCGCGGGCACGGACCCCGTGGATTGAGCAGCAGCAGCAAGAGGTCAGGCTCACTGCCGCAGGGGCTGCTCTGGTCTGCAGTGCCCGCCTCGGCTGACACGTGGAGCCATGGCCTGGGCACTCACGGTCCCTGAGACCCCCGACCTTCCCTGGCCAGAAAGGCCCTGCGGCTGCCAGTGTGCCAGCCTGCTGGTGTCATGGTGAGTAGCCGGGGCTCTGCGAGCAGGCCTGTGCAGACGCTTCTCTGTAGCCGACCAGTCACGCACAGGCTACAGGGAGGCGGCCGTGTGAGGTCCCTGGCCTCTAGGAAGCTCCCTGAATGGATGTTTGTTGGCAGCTTTAATAATCATAATCCTCCAACAACCCTTCACGACAACAAACACTGTTCCCATGTTCCAAACGAGGTGTCACAGCCAAGGCAGAGGCCGGGGAGCTGCCCTCGTCCGTTCCATCAGCACCCACCAGGTGCCTCCACAGTTAAGGTGCTTGGCGGGGCTGCCAGCTGTGGGGTGCGGCAGGGGGCCTTCCCCGAGGGATGGAGCTTCGGGAGACAAGCAGAGGCTGCCCAGCTGGAGGAGAGGGAAAGGACCGAGCAGAGGCCAGAGCGGCTGCAGCAGGAGGGGCAGGAGAGCGTCCCGGTTAGGGCCTGGCTGAGGCTTTCCGCCAGGCAGGGCTTTTGGTGGGGAAGCGATTAGCACCTGAAGCTGCTCCGCCCCCCAGAGGCGGGGTGAAGGGAGCCCCGGGAGGCACCTGGGCCTGGTGGCGTCCTCAGCTGTTGCACAGGCCTGGAAACCAAGGCCCAGAGAGGCAGCAGCCCAGCCACCCTCCTCCCTGCCCGGCGCTGCTGCGCCCACCCTGTGCCTTCTCAGCCCTTGCTCATGCCGATGCTCCGCTCTGCTGTGTCCACTTGTCAAGACAGAGTCAGGTGGTCTCTGTGGGCCCACAGGGCAGAGTGTAGTCCAGGGATATGGCTTCTGCATCCAGCTCTCTGCCAACCAGCTGTCAGGCCCTAAGCAGACAGACCAGTTTCTCTGGGGCTTCGTGTGGCCCCCAGGAGCTGGGCTAAGGGGCCAGCGTGTGGAACATGCGGGAGCAGGCCGCCCAGTGCCCTCCGTGGGTTGAGGACTCTTGGGCGACTCCTGCTGTTTGCCATCCATCCCTCTTCCCTGATCAGTAGGTCTTGACCCTGGACGCTGGGTGGGGCAGATGGCCCTCCGGCCCCCATGGTTCCACCTCCCGGCTGCGGTGCAGTGGTAGCAGCCGGCCCTGCCCGTGCTGTCCTGTCATGGGGAACCACCTTCACAGCCAAGGGCCCCCTTCCCGGGCGTGCAGGTAGACGCTAGGGGCAGACAAAGGGCTTGTCAAGAGTTCCCTTTGAAGGGATCCCATGGGGTCACTGGGGCAGCGCTGTTGCTGCTGGGGAGCGCCTGGCATCTCCGGCAGCTCCCTGGAGGTTCAGGTGATAGGAGCATCCCCGGCTGCCACTGGGAGGAGCTGGGGCACACAAGTGGGCCAGAGTCCCCTGGCCAGGGCCTAGGCCTTCCCACGGTGCCCTGGCTCCGGCATCCCATCTGTGGGGAGACAGGTTGGACAGGGATTTTATGGCTGCTTCCCTGTGACAGTTGTTCCTCTCACTACCCCTCCTCCCAGTGAGAACCCCCTGCCCACGGTGGAGATTGCCATCCGGAACACGGGTGACGCGGACCAGTGGTGCCCACTGTTGGAGACCCTCACAGACGCCGAGATGGAGAAGAAGATCCGTGACCAGGACAGGAACACAAGGTACTCCCCGTCCCTGTGCCACCGGCTCTGCCCACAGGCACCCATCTTCCCAGGCAGGGGCAGGGCCATCACCTTTCCCTGGTGACCTGTGGTCTCTGGGAGGGGACCTGTGTTGCAGAGGCAAGCTCTTGCAAGATGAGCCCCCCTGGAGTGGGTTCCCTGCAGGGAACAAAAGCAGGTCCTCAGATCAGGTCTGACCACAGCCTGGACCAGGTTTCAGGTCCCTGGAGAGGTGGGCAGAGCCTGAGCAGCACACAGGCAAGGCCGAGGGAAGGCTGGGGTCCAACCCTGCTGGTGGCCCACATCCTGCCCCTGTCCCTGCTCCCACACCTGGCTGCCCTAGAGAGCCCCAGGGAGGGCAGCCCCAGGCTAGGAGCTGGCCCCGCTCACCACCCTTTCCTCCTCCAGGCGTATGAGGCGTCTTGCCAACACTGCCCCGGCCTGGTAACCAGCCCATCCGCGCTCAGCTCCCATGGAGCAGCTCAGATTGGAGCCTCTCCTTCATCGTCTGGCAAGGAGAGAGGCACGGGGACAGTCCGGCACCATCCTGAGGATCCGGGGACAGGGGCTTCCAGGTCGCCCTCCCCAGCACACATTCCATTTGCTGAGCCCCAGTCCTGCTCCCCTGCCCCCAGCAGCCTCCCCCAGTCTCTGGGGTCAGGAGTAAGCCTCATTTTGAGTTGTGTTTTGTTTTTGTAGAGGAGCCCCAGGCAGGGCTAGCAACACTTTTTAAATAAAAGGCTATAGATCATGTTCAATTTCTTCAAAGTGGTAGCATTGAAATTACAGGAGGGCCGGGAGTGGGGCCTGGCTGGGCTTGGCAGGGGGTGGTGTGTGGCCAGGGCCGACACACCCGGCCTCTTACCCTTCTCTGCCTTGAGTCCCCAGGTGGGGGTTAACAGGGTTCCACTCTCAGCACCCAGCTCGCCGCAAGGCCCAAGTCAGAGCCCAGTCCTTGCATTTGCTGGGGCCCTCCAAGTGCAAGAACCAAAAGGAGCGGCTGGGAGGCTCAGGGCTGGGCCTCCTGCCTTTCAGCAGCAGCCTGACCCTGCTCCCTTTGCCCAGCCTTGGGAAGGAGCCACGGGCTCTGCCGCTGTCCCTGGGCTGCCCTGGCTCTGCTGCGTCTAGATGGTCAGGCTGCCGCCGGCTGGGCCTTGCTGCTCTGGGATCCCTCATAGAGGGCCTGGTCCCATGGGCAGCGCCAGGCTGCCGCCAGCCTGGTACAGGAGGGCATCTATCTCAGCTCCAGCAGTGCCCACCTCCCCCAAGCTGCCACAGTGGTGCTGTGGCCTGGGCCAGCTCCTGCCTGCCAGGCCGGCTGTGAGGAATGTGGGAATGACACACCCAGCCTGGTGCTGGCTCTTGGGGTTGCCTGGTGTGTAGGGAGGAGGCACAGCCCTCAGCCCCTCTCAGCTCCACCTCCACAGAGCTCGTGTACCCTCATCTGTAACGTGGAAGTGTCCCACACTGAAGAATGGGCGTAGGATCCAGGAGGGCCGCAGAGTGGGCACACAGCTCCAGGCTTACTCAAGATAATGGCCCAGAGCCCCAGCACAGGGCTGCTGCCACTTCAGCTGCTGGCAGGGCCTTCCCTGCCAGGGCTGAAGCCAGAGGCTTCTCTGTTCCCTGGGAGCGTGGCAGGGGCCCCATGTGGGCAGGGGCAGAGCTCTGCACAGGTATTGGGGTTCTCAGTTGCTGGGATATAGGTGAGATGGGCCTGGCCCTCTGCAAGGGCTGGGGGCTACTATGAAAACGTCCTACCACTTGAGATGTTTGTACTCAGGTCCTCTGTCCTCCATCAAAGCCTGGAACTCACCAGAGCCCCACAGCAAGGGGACAGCTGGGTCTTCTGGAAGGCCCTGAACAAAGAGCAAGATTCCAGGCCCAGCTGGCCTTGGAAATGAATGGGCTTCATTGCTTCATTGCTGAGGTATTTGCTCAGTCCATGGCGCAGCAGGCAGCCCTGTGCCCACCCCGCTGGGCAGGCAGGCCCACCTGCCTGGGAGGGGCCTGGGGAAGGGCCCTCAAGGCTGCAGAGCCAGGTTTCACTACACAATTGAGGGCAGACTCAACGGACCGTTTCTGTTTCCATGAAAACAACAGCTGGTGGCTGCAGGAGCCCTGCGATGTTCAGCACCTGGAGCCACGACACCGACAGGCCTCGAGCAGCAGGAGAGCTGCCAGATCTGATGCCCACGTTACAGGAGAAAAAAGTGAGCTGTGGGGTCACGTAAGGCTCACATAGGTCCTCAGCTAAAAAGGGCAGGGACAGAGCTTCCCAGAAGTCTCTGCCTAACCCAGTCGTAGGACTCTGGCGTCATAGGAAGGGCAGAAGACCCAATCCTGGCCCTCCTCTGCACCTGACCCCAGGGGGCCTCAGTGTCACTCGATGGAAAATGAGGCAAAGGTGCACTTGTCAAAGTTGCTGAAGAGGGACAGAAGAGGCTGGGTCGGCATCAGGTGAAAGGCACCATGGGTAGGGGCACCTGTTTTCCAGGCTCAGCACAGGCTAGGAGAGCCCTGTCCTGGTCCCAGGCACTGGCCAGCGCCGCCCCTGACCAGCAGGGAGCAGAGCCCAGGGTTGGTAGGACTTGCCTGAGGCTCCATCAAGGCACTGGCAGGGCTGGGACGAGAACCCTGAGTCTCATCTGTGAGCTCAGAGCTCTGCTGGGCAACGTGTGCAGGTTCTTTGCCCTGGATGGGCCCCGATCCTACCATCTATGATGGGGCTGAGAGGGCAGGCCAGGCGAGGGCAGAGGGCAAGCGTGAAGGGCCTGGGAGGTAAGGCCAGCCTTGACAGGGGGAGCCAGTGCCTCGGGCCAAAAGGCTGCAGGTCATACTGTTTATTCGGTTGGGCCCTTGTGTGGAACCAGCCTCCAGGAGGGAGGTGGTTCCCTGCAAGCAGGGGTTGGGGAGGGTGCAGGCCCACCAGAAGCATCTGGGGCTGGCCCTCGGTGGGGTCACTGCTGCGGGGGTGGCTGATGGGGTCCTGGCTGCTCCTCAGGAAGGGGCAGGTAATTGGGGTCCTCCTCAGGGGCATCCAGTAGCAGCTTCCTGTGGGGAGGGGCCCACGCTGAGCTGGGGGCAGCACAGGTCCCTCTGGGGTGGGGGCCATCTGAGGGTGGGGAGGGGAGGGAGGGTTGTCATCTCCAGCACTCACAGGAAGCCCGGGGTCAGCAGCAGCCTCTTGCCTCCAGGCTGCTTGGGGAAGACATCCTCCAGGAAGTAGTAGATGTGGCCCACGGCAATCCCTGGAGAGAGCCATGGACTGCCAGAGGCCACCCTCCACAGCCCAGTGTCCCAGGCCACCAGCATGTGCTCCTGGCCTCCATCCACAGCCTGGAGGCTCTGCCAGGCTGACAACCTCAGGCCACAGAGCATAAGGGCCCCAAAGTCCTGCACAGGCTGCCAGCCTAGGGTGAGGCCAGGGTTGGCCCCTGAAGGACAGGCTGAAAGGGCCCAGAAGTGGGCAGGACCTGGGAAAGGGAAGGCTGAGAACACTGGAGGAATGGGAGCCACGGAGCAAGAACCCCGAACCGCCTGTCAGGACCCATGCACACACTAGCAGGTCAGCCCTGAAGATGCAAATCACATGGGCTGGCGTGTGTGAGGGGCTGTAAGAACAGAGTAGCTGGCGGTGGAGAGGCAGAGGAAAGGTCCCCCACAGGTGGGAGCAGGGCCCTGGGCAGCATGTCCTGCGGGGAGCAGCCAGCCTGGGGCGGGCTGGATGGACAGGCAGGCTCACCCAGCAGGTCCACAAGGATCGAGTTGCCCAGCAGCAGCGAGAAGCCCATGAGCGCCCAGGGCAGGAATGGTGCTTGGAAGGTAAGGAGGCCGAAGAAGTTGACCCTCACCAGAGGGCTGCGGCGGCTCCACACATACACCAGCATGGCCGTGAGGGCCTGGCCCAGGAAGAACAGGCTGCCCAGGAGTCCCAGCAGCTGGGCAGAGTCAAGGTGTCCCAGTGCAGGCCTCAGCCGATGCCCAGGGCCCCTCTGCTTTCCTAAGCCCCTGGAATCGTTCCATTGCTTTCCTTCCTCATTGTGCCTATGTGCCTGCCATTCCCCCATCAAGATGAGCCCTTCCAATAAAGGCCACACTCCTGGCCGTCAGGTCCCATGAGATGTGCCCGGCACACCTACCACCTCATCCCAGGCCCCACCCACTGCCTGGCCCCACCCGTTTCTCCTGGCTACTGGCAGGCCCCCCACCTGGCTGTCCAGTGCATCAATCACCCTGTTACACTGTGCATACGGCCCTGGCACCCGGAGCTAAGCGCATATGGATCAGTACATCCTAAGGTGGAGTGAACAACTCTGTCTCTCTCTGGCCTGGGCACTCAGGTGAGGCCGCAGGCCGGGCCCTAAGGCACTGTGGCCTAAGGTACCAGAGCCCGTGGTAAGGATACGGTCATAAGGACGCCTCCGAAGAGAAACATGAAGACGAAGTCTGCCGTGCGGCCGCGGAAGGAGCCCTCCTCCAGCATGCGGCAGTAGTGGAACCTGCGGCGTTGGTATAGGAAACGCCACCTGGGCGCTGCCTCAGTTTCCCCGCTCCCGGCAGCTCCCCGCCTGGCTGGCCTGCCCTCTACCCAGCCCGGGTCTGCGCGGCGCAGGATACACGAAGAGCATGTTGAAGAAGAAGCTGAATCCCAAGGGCCCAAAGAAGAGGAAGTTGGTGATGAGCCTCCAGACCTGCGGGGGCAGATGGTCAGGCGCGGGACCGCGGACCCGCCGGCAGGTGCAAAGGGCGGGGCGGCCTCACCTGGAACTTCCGGAACACGAGATGTGGGTTGAAGTAGAGCTGGAAGGGGCTGAGGAGCTCCAGCTGCTGTGGAACCAGGGGCGCGTCAGGGGCTGCCGCAGGGACCCCTGCTGTAGCCATGGCGACCCTGCCCCCTCACCCCTGCCCTGGGCTGCAGTCATGGCGACGCCCCGCCCGCCCGGCAGCTCACCACGGCGGCGGTGGTGAGGACACAGGCCGCGGTGTAGGTCCTCGTCACCGCCGGCACCTGCAGAAACTCTGCCGCCAGCCCCCGCCACGCCATTGCACCTGCTCGGGCACGCGTGGCCAGACCGGCAGAGCGCCCTTTAACCCACCTCTTGCTCCCCCCCCCCAACCTTTGGCCAATCCGCGTCCGAGGCTCCAGGCTAGCGGGAGGGGCCCTGGGCTCAGTAGCCAACGGAAGGAGGAAGGAGGAACTTGGGGGCGGGAAGAGAGAGAGAGAGCGGGCGTGTCGAGACTGGTGGCCAATGAGCAGACTTCACGGTTGAGCTCGTGGCGGTTGTTGTGGCTGCGGTGGCGGCGCGGGAGAAAGTATGGCCAATGAGGAACTGGAGGCTTCGCCGCATACTAGGGGAAGACCAATAGTGAGGACCCACGGCACCGCGGGGCGGGGCTCAGAGTACAACGTTTGTGCGGAAAAGACAGAAGCCAGACCGGCGAGTCCGCTAGGGGGCGGGGCCGTAGGGGTGTGGGCGGGGCGCGGCTGTGAGTCTGAGGGCGTTGGGTGGTGCTGATCCTCTTCCCGCTCGCTGGCGACTGGGACACGACTTTCTCCCATCCGCGAACCCGAGGCAGGCCCCCCCCAGCCCGCAGCAAGGGAGGCATTCGGGAGCGTGTCCAAACCTCCCCAAACATGCGGCTCCTGTCAGGGGTCTTCCCGGGGCCCGCAGGAGGGGGGCGCCGGGCGGGGACTGGCAGCCCTGGGGGAGACACGACAGCGGTGAGGCGGACCCAGCGAGTGGACAGGCTGGAGGGGGCCTCAGTATTTTGGTGGAAGAGAGAAACTCTATTCATTCATTCATCCGTTTAATGGGCACCTACTATGTGCCTGTTGCTGTTCTAGATTCTGGGGACAGGGCAGCCCACAAAAGATGCTGTCCCTTCCGGCTCAGCCGAGGAGACAGTCAATGGTACAGTGAGGTGGCCTTGACAGGGCAGTGCGCTGACAGAATGTAACAGAGTAAGGAGTAGGGGGCCGCAGTGCCGCAAGGGCTGATCTGGGAAGCCTCTGTGAGGAGGTGACGTTTGATTATCACTTTAAAAAGATCCCTGTGTCCTTTGGGATGCTTACTATAAAAAACAAAACTAAACACGAAAACAGAAAATCGCAAGTGCTAGCAAGGATGTGGAGAAATTGGAAGCCTTGTTCACTGCAGGTGGGAATATACAATTGCACAGCTGCTGTGGAAAACAGTATCGCCATTACTCAAAAAATTAAAAACAGAATTATCATGTGATCCAGCAATGCCACTTCTGGGTATATACCCAAAAGAATCGAAAGCATGGACTTGAAGAGATACCTGTACACCCATGTTCCTGGCAGCATTATTCACAATAGCCAAAGGGTGGAAGCAACTCCAGTGTCCATTGACAGATGAACGATAAACAAAATGTGGTGTTTATACATTCATTGGAATATTATTCAGCCCCGAAGGAATGAAATTCTGATAGATGCTACAACATGGATGAACCTTGAAGACATTAAGCTAAGTGAAATAAGCCAGACACAAAAAGACACATCCTGTATGATTCCACTTACATGAGACAGGAATGGGGAGTTATTGTTTAATGGGGACAGAGTTTCAGTTTGGGAAAATGAAAAACTCTGGCGGTGGGTGGAGGGGATGGCTTCACCAGAATGTGAATGTATTTAATACCAGTGAACTGTACATCTAAAAATGGTTAAGACAAATTGTATGTTGTGTGTACGTTTAGAGAAATTTTGTAAGAGATCTCTGTGTTTGCTGTGAGTGCAGTAGGCTGGCAGAGAGATCAGTGAGCAGGGGGAGACTGCAAGGGCCAGTGGTGACTTGGGCAGGCTGGAGCCTGGAGGGCAAGGAGTGGTGGGCTGTGGGTTTGCCCGCAGATGGGACCGGGCTGTGAGAGAGGAGTCAAGGGTCAGTTCAAGGCCTGGGCGGCAGAGCAGTTCGATGCTGGTGGTCTTGGCTGAGAAGGAGAATTGTAGAGAGAAGGCGGATGGGATGGGGAGGCCCATTCTGGCCTCGCTGAGTTTGAGGCATCTGTGTGACATCGCTTGGAAAAACCTGTGTGTGGCGTTGGGGCAGAAGTCAGGGCAGACAGTCCAAACGTGGGTGCCAGTTGGCGGTAGGGCAACGGCACTTGTAGCCTTGGGCCTGTGTGAGATGCGCAAGGGGCAAGGCTACAAGGAGAGGAGACGCTGGGCCTGGCAGCCCGACCTTCAGGAGTCCCAGAGGGTAAACCCAGCTGGGGAGGCCGAGGGAGGCTGAGCGGGATGGGCCGAGGAGCTGAGCCAGGGAAGAGGTCCCGGAACAAGGCAGCGAGAAGCCCAGGGAGACGTGGCATCAGAAGGCACCGGGTTGCAGCCATGCCAAGGTCCTGGTGCAGGCAGGAGGGAGAGGCACCAGGACAGATGCGCCTTTACTAACATGCGGAGCTCAGCCTCGGATGCAGTGTGGAAGATGAGGGGTGCTCTGGACAGAGCCCTGAGGTCCCCCAAGGAGACTGCAACTGGCCACGAGGGAGAACTGGCTGGGAGGGTGGTTTCAGGGAGATCCCAAGAGCACGAGGTCCCACAGGGCGCTGAGAGGGGTCCCCTAGGGAGAGGGGCAGGACCAGTGCCTGATGACAGTGGGTCCAGGAGCCCCCCTGTATGGGGGAGGGGTGAGCTGGGAGCACTGGAGGGCTACGCATTTGGTTTAGGATGAGGAGACGGTCTGGCCTACGCAGCAGGGGTTGGACCAAGATGCTGAGAGGTCGGGAGTTGGGGGCAGGCTGGGGGGGCCTCCTTGGCCAGCCTTGGTTTTCTAGTGAAGCAGGCCAAGGTCATGTTGGAGGCCAGCCATGCAGGGCAGATCCCACCCTGGCAGCAGTCGTGTGCAGCAGGGCGGGGATCCCAGGCCTCTGACGCCAAGGCGGGCGCCTGCCAGGCACGAAGGAGCCGGGAGGGAGGTCAGGTTTCATGTCAGCATGGGGAAGGGGAGGTGTTCCTCCTCCAGACGCTTAGCAGGCACTGGCGGCCCTCCACTCGGGTCAGGCTGGGGCTAATGGGAGGGGCTCTCATTGTTGGCAGAGGCGTCTGTCTCCCCTTCGATTGGAGGCCGATAAGACAGGTGCCCGGCTTGGGGGCTGAGAAGCACATTCCTGGGAGGCCCAGAGCCCAGGGCGGGCGGAGGAAGCCAGTGGAGGCCCAGAGGGAGCCCGGTGGGACATCCAGGGAGTAGCAGCTGGGTTCCACTGCAGACGCTCCCTCCTCAGAGCCCCTGGGTATGCTCAGATGGGGAAACTGAGGCACAGCGGGAGGCAGAGTGGCCCTGGGGCAGACCTCTGTCACCAGTCCTGGCCTTTCCTTTCCAGTTTGAGGCCCAGAACAGGCCACTCTGGAGACACCAAGTCCACTTCTCCTCGAGTCCTTGGGCCCCTCCCAAGAGTTCTTTACGCAGAAAAGCCCTGGGCATCCCAGGTTCCAGGGGCCTAGAGACGCAGGCGGCGCTGGATGCGGATGTCTACCAGGCAGATCTGCTGCTGAGCCCGCCTCACACACTAGGAGGGACCCTCATCAGCCCCTGGTGACAGTCCAGAAACCTGGGGACATCTCTGCACCCCCCCAGCCCCATGTCACACTTGGTGCCCCCACAGAACCTCCCAATCCTTTCCCTCCTCTCCAATACACCTCCCTCCCCACCCCCACCGCCTCTTGTTCAGCCTGTTTCTCTCCTCTGGAACTGCCCCAGCTCTCTAGACCGTTCATTCATTCATTCATTCATTCATTCATTCATTTTCTTCCCTACCAGCCTACATGTGCTGTTAAAGAAGAGAGGAAAGGCAGGTGGAAGTGCCCTACTCCAGGAAGCCCTCCCTGATCACCTCTGAAGGGACCAAAGCTCACTTATCTTCTGTGAGGTCCTTGAGCACTTAATTTTTTAATATATTTTATTCCTAAGTCAGCCCATGCCCATGGTGACAGAGCAGAACATGAGAAACGAGGCGAATGTCTGTGTATGTGTTGGAGCAGCTGCATCTTTCTCTTGATGACACATAGCGCCCCTTGCCAGGGGCTGCGCGCACAGGGCCTGCCCCCTTCCAGCACGTGGCCCCCCAGCCGCGGTGAGTAAGCCTCCGCTGAAACCCCGGCCAGCTCCTCCCAGGAACAGCTGTGTCCCCCTTGGCCCTTCCTGTCTGGGCCATGGAGTATTTTTAGCACTGAATCCGGAAGCCACACGGCAGCAGCTGCTCGTGGCCAGAGTGCAAGAACAACAAGCTGCCCAGGTGGGCCATGTCAGAACTCGGCCAAAGAGGGAGTGACCTGGGCCTGGCCCCCTGGACCTGGTAGCAGAATCTGGACTTTCCAGGAATAAGCTGGTCTCTGGGTGGGACAGGGAGGAAGGAGGCAGAGGGGAGCTGAGGAAGAGCTGTACTGCCCAGACCAGGGCAGGGGAAGAGCATGTGCAAAGGCCCTGAGGTACCTTGGGGGAGGGAGCCCTCCCCTGGACAGAGACACGGATGAAGGTCCAGTTTTGGAAGAGACCACCTGTTAGGTTGGGCAGGTGAGTTTGGGGTGCTGTGGGGACACGACCACCTTGGGGAGCTCTCCTGGCCACCCCAGTCCAGTTCTCCCAGCTCCTTCCCCTCCTCAGCCCTGTCACACTGCAGCTGTCCACACCACGATGGCCCCTCTGGCCTGGTGTCTGCCACAGCGCTGGGGCACAGGCAGGGGCGTGGTGAATGTGCAACCCTGTGAAGACGGAGACCTGGACTCCGGGGCTGGATCTGCAGCCTCGGGGCTGGCAGTGGGACCTGGCCACTCTCTGCCTCTCTGGGTCCCAGTGTCCCTGTCCCTATCTAGGAAATGGGTGGCTTGGAGGAGTTCATCTACAGAGTCTCCCTCACATCAAAGGTTGTACTCTGCTCTACCCTGGGTGGGGTCGGAGGTTTCTGGGTGGGAGCCCCTTCCTGTCACAGGCACGGCTGGCCTCCCCCTCCAGGGCCGTCTCTGCCGTGAGTGAGTGAAGGCCTGTGAGCGAGGATGCGCCAGGGACGGGTTCTGCATGTCCTGTCTGCCGGGCCTGTCCCCGCTGTCTCC